AAGACAACTGTAGATTATGGTGCGGTATGGGGGCCGAAATTAAGACTACTGCCCAGCAGCAGGAGGCTATATAGTAAACTACCGACCTGATTAATGTTAAGCTGGCACCAGTAACTGAGAGGCTTGCACTGCTTACTGAGGAATAGCACCTTTACCGGCGTTACTACTAGATACGCTAGGGACTAGCATACCTCGGTTGGTCATTGACTGGTTCACACACTCCCTCTGCTGTCTATTAGCATGGGTAGGTTAGCGTTAGCCTGGACGGGCTGGTGTTAGCATTGGAGGGGCTAGCCATTAGCGTACCTAGGCTGGCCACTAGCTGGATTTCCTACCCCCTTGACGGACCATTAGCATGGATAGGCTGGCGTTAGCATTGGAGAGGCTAGTCATTAGCGTGCCTAGGCTGGCCACTAGCTGACTAGTGACTCTCCGAGACATGCTAATGGCAGCCCAATACAGACGGTCACTTTAAAACTAGCACTAAAGGAGGCAGAAGTTATGCTTGGAAGTTATAGGTCTTTTTTTTTATTTTGCGTAAAACATCTGGTCTTTTTTTAAACTGTTACTTCTAGAAAAATCATCTTGCTTCTTCTAAACAGATCTGATGTAAAGCTGAATAAAGGGCCGATGCAATTTTAATGATGATGATTATGATGAAAAACAATGAAATGTGCACATTTCTTACAAGTCATCTTATTTACAGTATGCAAATTCATCTAAACTCTTACTTTCTGTATTACTCATATTGTAGAAACATACATCTGTGTACAGAAAGAACTTTAATCATATGACTTGTGTAGTTCTGAGAAATGCACAAAAGTATGTGTAAAGTGAAAAAAGCATGAGTGTTTTGTGAAGGAAGTTAGAACAAAAAAAAAAAAACCAGAAGATTGCCTTTTTTTGCTCTCATGAACTGAACTCAGCACCTAAGAGGAAATGCAGCTATGCATGTAGAGCTGATTCTCATGGCTATGTGCAGACACCACAACACACACACACCCAAGACACACTTGCACAACAGCAAGGCCCACGGAAGTTCCCATATTTTGTGGTGGATTGCCCTTGGGTCCTTGCTATTTCTGCCTAGCAGGGGGATCCTGTGTCAGTAATCCTGTCAGGATGAGGGGGATGAGGTCGCCGGATGCAGCTCAAGTCCACCGCCTTCATCACAGCACACACACATGGACATCAAAGTTACATGTTTATAGCTGAAGCAATTAAAATACTCTAAGAATGACCAATACAAAAGGAAAACCGACACTGTTTGACAAACTTTGATCATTAGTAAAATATTGTTTTCACATTAAATTGAAAGCAGCTGAAAATTGAGCAAAAAAATTGCTTTTGGGGGTTATTAGCTTCACTAAAAGATCTTTTTTCAACACGACAAATTGGAAATCTTTGGTATAGCATGAGAAAAATGTTTTCTGTGCTTTTCTGTCATTGTGAAAGGTCCCCACCTCCACCATTACCACCTCCTGTGTCTTGTGAAACTGTGGGAAATGAAGAAGCTGTTTATTCTGAGAGGAAACACTCAAAGCGAAAAGAAGACTAGGTCACTGTCTGGTTTGCCTGTCTCCGTCTGAGTGTCAAATGCACTTCTTACAAAGCTGACTTCCTGAGCTGAAGCTCTGTTCTACAATTTGGCTAAAACACACACACACACACACAAACCTTGTGACCTCTGCCTGCACCCACGACGAACCATATTTATCCAAGATACAGAGACAGACTCGCACATACAAACAACATCTCTTTCAGCGTTGCAGCTCTGCCCATGAAATAAGAAATATGGATGCCCATTCAACACAAACAGCCACCCACACACACCTACAAAGCTCATACACATGCAAACTATGCCAGAAAGTACACACACACACTCGCGCGCGCACACACACACACACACACACACACACACACACACACACACACACACTCCTCCACAGGGCTCCAGAGAGAGGTAAACAGAAGAGTCTGACATCCTCTTGCATCATGTGCCTCAAATGCAGCAGAGAGACAGCTAAACAAGCTGTGACTGTGACAGCTCTAAAGTGAGGTTGCATTACTCAAGCGAGCATCGGCTTCCAAGTCAAAGCAATTTGTGACACAGTTATGGACAATTTGTGGTCATTTGACAACAATTTTGATGTAATAACAAAGAATAAGTCAAATACTTAGCATGAGAAAGCCTCGATCAGATGAAGAGAGGCTTCACAAAAACGCCTTCATGCTTCATCATAATCCAGTGACCTCAGGAACACGAACACACACACACACACACTTCAGCCATGTGAGTGAGTCGCTAATGCTAGCAGTTAGCTTCTGCTGATTGCTAAAATGACAACAGCCTTCCTTGTCGTGAGTCAGTATGGGTGAGTCCGTGAATGCTAAGTGACAGTGTGATATTCAGGTAGATCTGTCAGCCTTTACTAATGTTAGAGTTTCACTGTCCCTTTTCTATTAGAAGCTAATGCAGGAGATAGGTGTAGGAGACTATTTTCATCTTCAGTCTGGATATAAAACTAAAAGTGGCTTTTTTCCCCTCCACCTGAACCAATCCTCATGTAACCCTCTTATCTCTATTAAGGTAGCGTGACTCAGGGTTGCGAATGACCACAGTCACCAATTCTTGTCATGTGTCTTGCCCATGTATGTCTGATCTCTGAATTGTGTGTACTGAAACTCTAATTTCCCTCTGGGATTAATAAAGTATCTTTGATTGATTGGTTGATTGATTGATTGATTGATTGATTGATTGATTGATTGATTGATTGATTGATTGATTGATTGATTGATTGATTGATTGATTGATTGATTGATTGATTGATTGGTTGATTGATTGAAAGAGTTATTTAAAAATGTTTTTTTAGTGAACCGCACTTTTAAGATTTTGACTCAGTTGCCACAACCATACTATAAAAACACAAATATTTCTACAAAATTGCAGGGTTTTTTTTTACAGATTATGATCTAAAAATAGGTGTCATGATCCCTAAGAGCAATGCCCATTGCCCAACCCCTACTTTTAGCACTTTGCTGACTCAGCGGACAACCCTTTGAAACTCACAAATAGTAATCATTGGTAATCACATCTTTAACTGGAGTTAATCTAGTTCAAGCTGGCCACCACAGCGATAGCAGCAGAGAGTCATTAGCAACACGCACCAAATGCTAAAGGATCTGTGCAACACGTGAACACATGAATAGAGTTGGATAAAAAACATGTGAACCTCCAGGATTCCTCAACGTATCATGTTTGATGCAAACTTCTGGCTTAAAAAGTGGCGAGTGACCCCTTCAAGGAATCCTGTGTCTTTGTTTCTAATGAAGTTTTCAGACCACTGAGGCAAACTGTGCATAAGAGATAGAGGGTAACAGATTAAGTTTTAGTGGATCAATGACAAACGCACTCAATGACTTTGTACCAGTCTTTTATTTACTCTCAGTTCACAGGTCCTTTTGTGGAGGTGGCCATACTGCAGAACTTAAATCACCTGAAACAAAAAGAGTTGCACCGTTCCATAGTTGTACACAAAACTGACCAAATATATGTGAGTTATTTACTGGTTGTAATAAAAAATAGAGAAACATCAGCTCTTGAATGCCTTTGTGAACAGAAAACCCATCATTAGAGCATGCTGTCCAACTTGCATCGTTTTCCACCACCACTACACACTATGCCCTCCCCATCAGGGCAGCATGCTCTTGCCCTAATGGGGAGTTCTTTGAGTATGTTTCTGTCTCTTTATTCCCTAAGGCTCTGACGGGGTATGTCTGTGCTCTTATGTCCCATCATTTTTGCCTGGATGCAGTTCCCCCTCCCCCTAACATATGTACTCTGTCTGTACAGTACTCACAATACCTGGTCATCTGCATGCATCACAGCATGTGTGTGCACTCTCAAAGATCGACCTAGATGTTCTACGTTGACTGTACAATGCAAGCATGCACAGACACTAATACACTGACTCGTCGACAGTGTCCCCCTATGAATAACTTGCAGATAAACAATCAGACACTTATTTTTTCTTACCTTTTGGTTTTATTTGTTTTTTCCTTTATAATGCACACAGTTGTGGCATGCAGGCAAGGTGAGCACATAATCATTTTAGTAGGTTTAATAGTAGGGATGTTAGAAAATATCAACATGGCAATTAATCGTGATTTTTTTCCCAGCAATATTATATCGATATTCAAAAGCTGTGTATCGAAAACATTGATGTGGCAATATATTGTGTTTTTGTCCAGCAATATTCTATTGATATTCAAAAGCTGTGTATCTAATTTTTGGAAGAAATTACATGCAAACATTTGTGTATTTTCTTTTCTTTTGGTACAATTCAAACGCCGACCACTAGTTTGCAGCATGTGCGATGGGTTTTGTTTTCATCACTGAAATGTAAATCCCTCTTGTTACGGTTCAGATACCTCATGTTAAACATGTTAAGCATCAGTTTGGACTGTTTATTGAAATTTCCTTTAATTAAATTCTGTCTAAAAATCGCTAATATCATCTAAATGTATCGCAACATATTGTGACGTATTGCAACGTCTACCCTGTATCGTGATACATATCGTATCACTATAATTTCACCAATACACATCCCTATTTAATAGCCCAGCAGAGTTCACTAAATGTGGCATCATGAAGAGCACACTCTTACAATCTAACCCTACTTTGTGCTGACACAACCAAATCCATTCCAACAAGTTTCACATGGTAATGGACAATAATGGACCAACCAAAACATTCCAACACACTGACACTTATTACATCAAACGTGTGCAGTTATTTTCACTCACTGAGTTTTTCCCTTTGGTTTGATCCATCCCAGCTCTCCAAAGCCACTCGATAAAAACTAGCAGCTGCGTTTGCCTCCATTACTCATCTATTCACGCCTTCACTTCGATTATTTTTCTCCCTTTTTGCACTGTAATATTGACACCTGTTTGAAGCGGGTAAACAGTAGAGAATATGGCTTACAGTAAGTACTTACATTTGACTGTTCTGGAGTCAAAGAGTGCCACAGCCTCCCGAATTCTCCAAACAGCTGACCTACAGTAGCCTACAACTTGAAACAAAGTTTATATCCGTGCTTCATCGTTTCGCAGGTCTGCAAAAGCCATCTGCGCTGAGCTTTAAGAAGAGAGGCTCCCAGAACATTCTGCAAAGAGCGACTGCTTCTCAAAAAAGAACAGCACAGGGATGATCCAAAACACTCTGGAAATGCTGACTTCAGATGCTCCTCCATCCCTTCTCCTTGGCTTCTTTTCTCCTTCCGTCTGTCAGCCAACCATATTTGGCTAAAGTAAACTGCGCGCTCAGTAGAGAGAGGAAACGTCATCAGAGATAGAAAGCCCTTCCGTTGGCATACCTTTCCATCCTAGCCATGGAAACATGTCAAGAAACTTTAAATCAGAGTCTGGGGGCAAGCTCTCTGCAAAGTGAGTCACTTCCTGTTAGAACTGAGTGTTCAACTCTGGGGACGGCGTGGTTCTTTGAAACAGCAAGAAGAAAAGAATCAAGGTGCTGCTAGGAAGTCATAGAATGATCGATAGATAGATCGATAGTTTGATAGATAGATTTATGTGAGTTTTAATTAGAACCATCCAGTAGAAAAATCTAAAAATAGGCTGTCTGTGATCCTCTTGTCAGATCGTCAGTCTTTTTTTGTTTTATTCCACTATTTTTTCCATCAGTTGTGGAATCTGTTGCACAACACTCTCTGTGCTCTGTGTCTCTTCCTCCCAGTCATTAAACACACATGCTCCAGAGCTCTGTGTACAGCCTTAACTCAATTTGGTAAACAAACGCGGGCTGGGGCACGGGTCAAAGGTTGAATCCACAAGAGAAAACGCAAAGCCAGGGAGCACTTTGTCATCTTTTGACATGATGAAATAAATGTCCAGAGACCTCGGCTTACAGGCGTCACCTTTAGATATCGTTAGTCTTACATCACTCGCAGAAAACTTAAACAATGAGCATTTAATGGGTTATATCTCAAAACCAAAGAACATCTTCCATCATATGATGTCATCTTTTAAACTAAATTAAGAATACACTCACTGTGCATTTATGTGCTGAGGGTACCCATCAGATTTAAATCCCCCTGTCTTCTTTGGCCTTGGCTTATAGATAGGCACCCATATGGATTCAGCCAGATATTGTAGTACACTGCAGTTTATCTGCAATCAATGCTGATACACTCCATAACACCCACTTGGATCAATGAGCAGTCACTCAATATGCCAGCAGTTAACCCAGCTGATTAGGGCTAATGCAGGGAATTTCATCTCCACGAATAGGAACCGGGAACGAACAAACCAAAGCACGAGCTTTTCTTCCTTGAAAGATTCAATCTGTCAACAAGAGCTTAACTTGTGTGTCGTGACTCACGGCCAACAGAGGAGGTCTTCACCGGAGGGATCTCTCCGAGCAATTAAATGTCCAAGGCAGAGCGCCGGTGATTGACAGATAGACTCCATATGTTAGTGACTGACTTTTTAATTGAGTCCCTCCCTCCCACCACCCCCACACTAACACACACTCAGAAACACACACCTGTATGGATCACAACGATAAGCTCTTGGACCCTGTCTAAGGATGGGGGATGAGCTACCAGCGGCTAGAAGCAGCTGTGGCGAAAACAACAAGATATGTGAGGCATCCTGTTGTTAACAAAAATAAAGCATACTCTATAAATAAAGTAATAGTGTTTATCTCTTTAAAAATGCAGGAATCTGCATGTTTTTAATGCTTATGATTGAAACTGTTATTGGTATGTTGTAACACCTGATTCTCTTGTAAGCAGTCTATAAACAGGGTTCCTATAAGGAATTAGTGGACATGTTTTGGGTTTATGGTACTATTCCAAACATAATTACATCAATAAATGCATACAGTTTTGGGGAGAATACTTAGTAAATGTATTTAGTTACATGATTCTGAATACCTGCTTTAAAATGTGTTTGCTTAATTCTAGTACTGCATGCTAAATACTAAGTACTAAGTAAATACTAATACTAAATAAATACTCTCCCTTAAAAACAGTATTTAAGTCTATTAAATGCACTGGTAGCTTCTCCTGCAGAAAGAGGGCATATTTCTGTCTCTGTAATAAAGTGAAAAAGAGCTTGAACTAGCACAGCATTACTGTTTGTAATACTGGAACCAAAGCAGCCTGAAGGACTGATGTCAGGCCAATCACAGCTCTCTATCTGTTTGGTGGGCAGGATGTTTGCATCTTCTTCAACAGCCTATGGCGGACTGCCCTGTGGGCTGTGACTGACATCTGTAGCGGCCCAATCACAGCGCTCTGTTTGGTGGACGGAATGTTACTGAAAAAACAAATATGGTGGTGGCTAGAAACGGCTTTGGTATCAACTTTGGACAATTTTGACTTGGGTTTTGCTTTGAGACAAGAGCAGATAGAGGTACTTAAGTTCTTTATTTCGAAAAAAGATGTATTTGATCTTCTTCAACAGCGTATGGTGGACTGCCTCATTGACTGACATCCATAGTGGTGAGTATGCCACGTTTGTTATCCAATAGCAAGTGGAGACAGTTTATAAGACAACATGGATCCCAACCCACAACTGAGAGCCGTCAATGAATCGTGGTCAAACTATATATTTACATCTATTGGATCGCTTGCCAGGAAAGGAAAACACAATGGTATTACAAAAGTAACTATTGTAAATTCCATATTTAAAAATAGTAACTGTACACCAGAATACAGTTACTCATAATTAGTATTCTAAATTCAGCAGTACATCTATACGATTACTCCTCAACACTGATTACATAATACACAAAGTATAGCAATCATGTAAGGATTTACACAACTGGTTTACTAATATTTGTTACTGACTCATAGGAAACTGTGTTCTCACAAGTTTATTCACTATGAACAAGATAATACTGACTTCACACCAACAGTATCTGAGATGTGGATGGTCAAACCATCACATCACCTAACCTCAAATTTACACTGTACACCATTCAGTTCTGTGACTACCACTGCTGTGGGTTCAAAGATTAAGAGCTAAATTAAACGAGAACAAAATCGAGGATAACTAGAGCCCAAATCCTTTAGGTTGCACTGACCTTACTCCTTGGCAAGCAAATAAAAATCTAATAAAGTTTACATTGTTAATAGATCCTTCAGTTTTACTGTTGGCCCTAGTAGCTACTTGAGTCTTTAAATTTTCATGAAAATGGTTTACTTCTCATCAAGAAGCTCATTATTCAAGCATAAAAGTGTGAAGTACCAAGCAGTGTCTACAGTTTTAACGCTTCATAAGCTGCCTTTTTCTGTTTGAAATGAAATGTCTTATAAGAAAATATAGAAAATATAGAAGTGCAGTATATATGGACAATAATTCAATACTTCATCAATACTTCAATATATCAATATATCTATCGATAGACATGTGGTGCGATAGAAAAAAAATGAGTCGATAAAACTTTTATTAAAAAGTTTCTTTGTTCATTGTAATCTTTTTTCATTATAACCTATTAGGTAGCAGCATACTAGACTCACTACTTATTCCTAACCAATCAAAACCAGACTCTGGCATGCTATGTCACAAGGCCCAACCCTCTCAAGCAAAAACAGAGCATGAGGCAGCAAGATGTCGCAGCGAGAAGAGGCGGGGAAAAATAAAAATACCAAAAATAAAATGGCCAGACCTACACGTAAAATATATTTTTTACAATGTTTTAAGCATTCTTCAATAATTATCGATATAGTTCAAAATTAAAAATATTGTGAATATATATATATATAGGGTTTTTTTCCCTATATTTTGTCCCTGTAATTTTTTTGTTTTCACCACAAAAGTGATAGACATCAAGTCATAAAAATACTAACAGAAAACTTTGACTAATTCAAGCCTCCTTCAAATATTTGAGTGGCCTACCAAAACACTCTCCTCTGTGCTCATGCGGAGTATGAAGTTACACATCTCATAATACTAATTCCTGCGCTAGTTAAAGTCCTCTTTGTGAATGAATTTAAGCAAGACTTTAGACAGGCACTAATCTACCTCAGTGAACACCCAAACACAGCAGGGGGTCCCTTCTATTCACACATACACACACATAGCCCACCCTTTAAGGACATGTAGAAGTATTGTTTTCTGTTTTCATCAGGTTGTTTTCTTTGGGCTTGAGAACAGATTGGGAATGTTTTAGGGCACTCGATGGAAGCAGACAAAAGGTACTACTGAGTACACGTAGCCCAACTAAAAGTATACATAGAAGTACACAGTGTATTGATTAATTGACTTACCGTGGGTGCAACCACAGTTAAACACAAACACCCCACAGCTGACACGCAGATAAAGAGAAGTCATAAGAGTCAAGTCACAGAGGTCGCAGCTTAGTTTCCACATCAAACCCAGGAGCAGAGGCCAGTCTCACCCCCTCTACCTCCCACTTTCCTCTCGCTGACCCTCCCACTCTTTCTTCTAACCACCCACCCTCTTCACACAAACACACACAACTCACACTCTCCTCCTCCTCCACCCAGACTGGATGTACGAATGCCTTTGCTGTCAGCTCTGCCCTGGACCCCTGTAATTGAAAATAACAGCCAAGGGCCAGCGCCTACCCCCACCCCCCAGCCGCTCTCCCCTGCCTGGTGGCTCTCTGCTTTGATGACAGCCACCCATCAATACCAATGACCATTACCCTGCAAGTGAGAGTGCTGCCGATGACATTCAAGACACCACCCGTGCAACACACACACACACAGTGTCCTTCCTCTGCCACCCGAGCCTCCTAATGTTTAACCCGTTGCTAACTGACCCGTCTCTTTATGTCAAAGCTGCGGCAAGCAAACAAGCCGGTCTCTCTCACACCACAAGGTTACTTAAACACACACACACACACACACACACACACACACACACACACTTTTAAAGACATGTACAGAAGTCTGACACGCTGCAAACTTTCCATTCCTCTGAGTTTTGTGCCGGTGCTGTCTCATCTTCATGTGCCGGATGAGGACTCTGTCAGTGTTACTGTACAACACCTCTTCACTGATCAGCTGATTTGTTTTGAAGTTTGTTTGTTTGTTTGTTTTTACTTCTGAGAAGCAGGAGATTTACAGTCCCTCAGCTCCTGGCTGCCTCTGAAATGAGAATAGGTGGTTTCATGTCCAGTGACCATCACTCGGGGTCTCTTGGTGGCTTCCCCTCCCCTCACAGACACCAAACACAATGTGATGGGTGATCTGAGGTGTCATCTGCTCTGACAGCGCAATGACAGCTGAATGAGTCGCACAGAAAGCAAAACAACGTGACAAATGAAGCTCGCACAGCGGAACCAAGCACAGGAACAGGACAAAAAAATGCACAGACCTTGTTGTCAAAAGCTGCGGAGCCGTGGAGACTGTTCTCCTTCCTACAGTCCTCTCTGTCTCGTCTCCTCCTCTCCCTCTTCTCTCACTCTGCTTGAATGTACGAGTATCTCTCTCTCTCTCTCTCTCTCTCTCTCTCTCTCTCTCTCTCTCTCTCTCTCTCTCTCTCTCTCTCTCTGTGTGTGTGTGTGTGTGTGTGTGTGTGTGTGTGTGTGTGTGTGTGTGTGTGTGTGTGTGTGTGTGTGTATGGGTGCGATAATGTGTGAGTGTGTGTGTGTGTGTGAGTGTTTGCTCCCTCCCCTTCTGCCTCTCAGCTGCTCAGCTCAGGCAGTTCTCAGGAAATGAATGGGAGCGCACAGAGAACTGTTGTACTTGCAAATGACTTACCCCGAGTCACATGATCCGCTAAATGTAGGGTGGGCCGGTGGGTGGAGGCTTCATAAGCAGAAAAAAGGGGGAAGACAATATACTCTAAGCTTTAACAGCATGCATCGAATTACACGGGGGCCCCACCGGGGAGGTTTCCGACGCGTCCGTTCCCAACCAGTCCGAGATCCCTCTGCGCGCGCCACTCACGGAGCGCAGCGGCGCGCCCCCCGGGCTGGTGTGTATGTGTGTGTGTGTGGGGGGGGGGGGAAGGGGGGGGGTGTCACCACCAGCACCTCACAGTTTAAAGGGAAACGGAAAGGAAGTGGGCCACAAAATTATTCAATTTGTGTCGATTTTTGTATTTATTTATTTATTTATTTATTTATTTGACAAGGATTATTTTTCATTTAGGCCAATCACTGACATCACTGCAAATAAAAATAGTAAAAAAAAAAAAAGTTTGATCATGTTTTGTTTCTTCATTTGGGCATTTACTGCCTGGAAAAACATTTAGACATTTAGAAAAATGTAATGTATTTGACTGTTTTGGTCCTTAAACATGACATCATCACACAGTTACATTCATGATGAAAACCTCCCGTTCCACCACATCCCAAAGGTTCTGGGCTGGACTGAAATCCGGTGACTGTGGAGGTTGTTGAAGTCCAGTGAACTCATGGTCATGTTCTAGAAACCAGTTGTGATCTGAGCTTTGTGACATGGTGCATCATCCTGCTGGAAGTAGCCATCAGAAGATAGGTCGTGGTCACGGTGGGATGGACATGGTCATCAACAAAACTCAGGTAGGCTGTGGAGTTTAAACCAGGCTCAGGTGGTACTGAGGGGTCCAAAGTACAATAACATCATTGCCCACCGAACAGCAGCCTGAAGGATGGTACAAGGCAGGATTGACCCATGCTTTACTGTTGGTGACACCTAATTCTGGCCTGACCATCTGAATGTTGCAGCTGAAATTCAGAGTTAAGGCATTTCCAGTTCCTTATGGTCCAGTTCTGGTGGTGAGTTCTAGCATCTGTTTCCTGTTCTTAGCTGACAGGCGTGTATTCGTCTTCTGCTGGAGTCCTTCTGCTTCAAGGTTCAGAGATGTTATTCTGCAAACCTCGGTTGGAACCAGTTATTACACGGCACGTTATTTAATTTTAAAAGTAATTTACATAGTACTTTTCTGAGTCATGGACTGCAAAGTACCTTACATTCACTCAAACATTCACAAGTTGCCCAGGGGCACACTGACAGAACTCCGGCTCTTTCGGCTCTCAAACAGTTCCTCGCAGTTTTTTTTTTTATTATTATTTTATCACCAGAAATTATGTAAAATGTATGTGAAATTATTGACCAATCTGCAAACTTACATTAAATCAGCTTTTTATTATTTCAAAGGAGACTAGGCAGTGTGAAATGTCTCCCCAGCCATCATTAGTGTCTACAGAAGGGATTTGTCACTAAATCAGACGTAGTAGACGTGTTCATGATCCAAAACATACAGGAAACGTGGTGGATGCAAACTGCAGGTATGTCAGCTAAACACTCAAGTTGCAAGTGTTATATTCTGGCTACAGAGGGCAGTGGGTCTGTAAAGGGTCATTTTAGCACATATTGGCTCAAGAAAAAGTTTCATAGTATCCCTTTAAATAACTAAATATCCAACAAGAAACAAAGTGCAACAAAACATAATTTAAACAACAAAATTAAACTCTGCAAGTAATTTTTTTATACACTTAACTATTTACAGGTAAATAGAAACGCTAAGATAATCGCACAAGGACATTTGTAGAGTCTGCTTTAAACGATATTTTTGCTTTGCATAGTTCACACTCTTTGTTTACATAGTCAATATTGGTCAAATGTGTCCAAATCTGGCTGCATTTCCTGTTTTAACTCATGTCCTCAGCTTTCTGTAGCCTCTGGTCCCTCTGACCATCAGCAACAAGCATGGAGGTTGAACCGTGGGTTCGAACTGGCAATCCATCATGTCAGGTTGAAATTCTGAGCTACCATTGTTCTCAGGTTATTTTTGTTCACAGAACTGCCTTTCCCTGTATATGTTCTCTCCAAACCTTGGTGATGGTTGTGGGTGAAGATCCCAGTAGATCAGCAATTTCTGAAATACTGAAACCAGCCTGCCAGGCACCAAAAACCATGTCGCATTTACCTAAAATTGATTTATTCTCCATTCTGATGCTACGTTTGAACTCCGTCAAGTCATCTTTACCACATCTAGATGTCACTGATCATGTGACTTGCTGGATTGATATTTCTGTTAAGCAAGTGTACCTAATGAAGTGGCTTGTGTATTTCTAAATATTATATCACTGTTCATTCCTGGGTTTTCCCAGAACATTAATAAATTATCCATGATTAAACAATCATAGGGACTCTGACACCTTTGATAGGGCTGGAGACCACTTAACCTGCTTTTATTTTGGAGTTCCAACCAGGATCAAATCAGGACGGGAAAGACAACTCCAGGTCATCAGTGTCAAAGTTCCCACCACCACTGATGTACTCAATAAATGACATTTGACACTGACTTTAATGACAGTCAATACCCCCCTTAGATCAGGCCGAATTGATACAGTTTTGCAGATGTTTTTGTATGCAGTATAAAATAATTTGTAAGACTTTTTTCTCGTCTCCCTGGAGTTATAATTTCTGCTCCAATACCAAAATGCCACATTCTGCCTGCTGTGTAACTGCCTGCATGTTCAAAAACATGCAGGAATATTTTCCCATAATGACAGTTTCAGATTTGTCTTTTGTGTAGTCCCTGGGCTTCTTGGTTTGCCTCCTGGTGTTGCCGGCCTTAATAAAAGGCATAACTGTGGTATGTGGGACTAAAGCTTGTGGAGCCCAGACCCACTCCCCTGGGAGCTCTAACTAATGTAAAGGAAGCAGGACTCATGTGCATGGCTGATGGAGCTCCTACCAGATTTGTCACTGCTAGATTTATCGTGAAGCATTCTGTAAACGCCAGCGATGATAGAGTAACACTGAACAAAGAGAGAGAGAGAGAGAGAGAGAGAGAGAGAGAGAGTATTGTGGTACAGTGAACTTGATCATCAGCTATCGTTTTAATATTCATCCTGTTTCACCTCAAATACAGTAAATATTCAGACTGCAATCAATGAAGAGTAAAATGGTTGAGGGAAGATGGAAGGAGAGAAATTGAGAGGAAAAGACCTGAATAATTAGGTTGAAATGGCAGCATAACATAATGGCTAAATGATTATATGAGTGGAATCTGTGGCTGTCTGGTTGGGAGGCTCTCTATGCATACTGGAAGGATGACAGTGAAATGGATGAATAGAGAAATGAATGAATGAACGAATGAACGGATGGATGGACATAGAAATGGGATGATCAGTTTGTGATGAAAATTTAAATGTATATGAGTGCTGGAGACCTGCTCAGCTGTGCTCATAATCACGCTGATAAATAGATTCATGAGGAGCTCACTTGCAGCTCCATCGTTGTTTCATTTGAATGTTATTAGTTATCCTGCTGATTTTATCACTCAATCAGTAAACAAGTTTGTTTAGTTATCTAGCTCGCAATCAATCACTCCATCCATCCATCCATCCGATCATCCACTCACTCATCCATGAAGCAGTCATCCATCCACCCAACAATCCATCCATCCATCCACCTACTCATCTGTCATACAGTCATCCATCCATTCATCCATCCATCCATCTATCCAT